GCTGTGTCTGGAGTCGCCGCACGGCCTCAGCCGTACTTCGTTCCGCTCCTTCAGCACGTTCTTGGTCTCCCGTCTTCTACTGGTCCTCCTCCTCCCTTAGAGTGTCCACAGCCTGTCCCGTCGCAGTTACAGTTACAGCCGGCCTCCCCACTGCCTGCTCCGTCTCCCTACACTGGTCCTACTGGAGGTCGCGCGTCTCCTTGCTACTGTTGTCACTGACCCATACGTTGAGTCCACTGCTGCGTCTGCCCTAGTTGCTGAGCTCGTCGACTTTGCTGCTCGCTGTCGCCTAGACTACGCCGCCAGTCTTGTTGCTGAGTCTAAGTCTGTCTGTCCTCCGTCCGTCGGGGGTGAGTGTGCTCTGAGCACGGACGTCCTTGAGGACAGGCAGGAGGAGTTCCAGTGCTTGGCCGCTGCTTCACCTCATCTCGTGTCCGTACTGCTTACCCCTGAGGGAGACCCGGATGCACTTGACATCCCGACTCCGCGCTCTTACGCGGAGGCGATAGAGGGTCCCTACTCCTCTCAGTGGCAGGCAGCTATGGACATAGAGATGGCTTCCTGGAAGTCCACAGGCACCTACGTTGACGCTGTTCCCCCTCCTGGGGCCAACATCGTCAGTGGCATGTGGATTTTCAGGGTGAAGCGACTGCCGGGTTCTCCGCCTGTCTTCAAGGCGCGTTACGTGGCTCGTGGCTTCAGTCAGCGGCAGGGAATTGACTACTTTCAGACCTTCTCTCCCACCCCGAAGATGACCACTCTTCGGGTACTGCTGCACATAGCTGCTCACCGTGACTACGAACTACACTCTCTCGACTTCAGCACTGCTTTCTTGCAGGGCAGCCTGCACGAGGAGATCTGGCTGCGTCGCCCACCTGGTTTCACTTGGTCTTTTCCTCCTGGCACCCAGTGGAGCCTCCGGCGGCCAGTCTACGGTCTCCGCCAGGCACCGCGTGAGTGGCACGACACACTGAGGACTATACTTGCGGCTCTTGGGTTTGCTCCCTCTACTGCCGACCCGTCGCTGTTTCTGCGCACCGACACTTCTTTGCCGCCGTTCTACATCCTCGTGTACGTCGACGACTTGGTCTTTGCCACAGCTGACACTGCTGGACTCGCCCACGTGAAGTCCGAGCTGCAGAAGAGACACACGTGCACTGACCTGGGTGAACTGCGCAGCTACCTTGGCTTGCAGATCACTCGGGACAGAGCACGCCGCACCATTACCCTGACTCAGTCACACATGGTGCAGCAGGTCCTTCAGCGCTTCGGCTTCACGTACTCCTCGCCTAAGGCCACTCCTCTGCCTACTCGCCACTCGCTCTCAGCTCTGCCTTCGGATGAGTCTGTAGAGTCGAGTGGCCCGTACCCAGAGCTTGTTGGCTGCCTCATGTACCTGATGACCTGCACACAACCTGATCTTGCATACCCTCTTAGCATTCTCGCATGCTATGTTGCTCCTGGGAGACACAGACCACAGCACATGGCTGCAGCGAAGAGGGTGTTGCGCTACTTGTGCAGTACGTCAGGCATGGGTCTTGTGCTTGGAGGGCAGAGTCCAGTGGTCCTCACTGGGCACGCAGACGCTTCTTGGGCTGACGACCAGGCTACGTAGCGGTCGTCACAAGGTTATACCTTCAGCCTTGGTTTCGGCTCTGTCTCGTGGCGGGCTACTCGCTCGTCTTCTGTTCTCGGCTCCAGCTGTGAGGCTGAGATCTACGCAGGAGCCATGGCTGCACAGGAGCTTCGCTGGCTCACCTACCTGCTCACTGACCTCGGAGAGCCGCCTCGTTCTCCTCCAGTGCTGTACGTAGACAACAAGGCCATGCTGGCCTTGTGTCGGGAGCAGCGACTGGAGCACAGAACGAAGCACATTGCTCTTTGCTACTTCCTTGCTCATGAGCTACAGTAGCGTGGTCAGCTGCGTCTTGCGTACGTGGCCTCTGAGGCCAACACTGCTGATATCTTCACCAAGGCACTTGCGCCTTGTGATCATCAGCGCTTCTGTACTCAGCTGGGCCTTGTGCCTACCTTGCCTCACTTGCTCACCTCTTGACCTTGCTTGTACTGTTACATATATATATACCTGCTCTTGCTTGTCTAGCCTTCTTTATATTTATGTACTCCTGCATGTGAACTGGCCTTGTAGCCTTGAACTTGTGCTTGGAATGTGTGGTGACTTTGTGATCCACCCTGAGCTTGCTTTGCTTTGCTTTGCTTGACTGGTTTTGTGACCCCTTGTTCTCCCCCACTTTGCCTATGGGGGTGTGTCAGAACATTATAGCTCATGCATATTGTGTAGGCTATAGCGGGGTAGCCCATAAGGGGTACAACCCGATTAGGGTTAGTACTTGTACCCAATTCATTCATAGTTCATTCATTCTCGTTTCTTCTCATGGCTCAGTAAGCAGCTGCCCGGAACCTGGGCCTCACGGGTGGTTATCAGCGGCTTGCGTACCTAGGGTACGCCGATGACACGACCCTGATCCTGTAGGGGGAGGAGCAGATTGCGGAAGCTGAGCAGCTATTAGCAGACTTCGAAGCGGAGTCGTCCATCTTACCTTTGGGAAGGAACCTGAACAAGCAGGCCTGCAGAACGGATGGGTTCAAGTGGGTGAAGGCAGACGAAGAGGAGCGACTCTTGGGAGTGTGGGTGACGCCGGATGGAAGCTACGCTCCCACCTGGGAGAAAGCCTTTGCACGGATCAAGGAGAAGTTGAGTCAATGGGAGTCGCAACATCTCACGACGGGGGCCAGGGTAGCGGTGATCAACTGCTACATTCACCCATCATCTTCTTTCAGGCGCAGGTGTACCCACCACCTGTAGACAATTGGGGGAGAATACTGAAGCTGACGCACAACTTTATGTTTGGCAACCATGCAGTCACGGACAAGAAGTTTATCCTGTGGATCCGGGAGTTGCTGTATATGGCGAGAGAAGACGGCGGCGTGGGTGTGAGAGACCCAGAGATAGAGCTCTCCTGCCTCGCGGTCAGGCGTATCGGGCTGCTGCTTACGGAGACAAGTGAGCTAAAGCGGGACATTATGCTTGAAGCGGCGGACCTGCCACTGGGGGCACACACATTCATCGCTCAAGTGAAGCTTCTGAAGTATTGGCGTGGGAAAAGCGAGCGGTGGAAGCTGGTCTGCGGGAGCTTTATGCAGTCGTCACTTGCAGAGGCATTACCAGAATAGACGAGGGAAGAAATGGAAGTGGAACGGATAGTTTTCAACCGCCATATTCTATTTAATAGCAAAATACCTGTGGGAGGCCAGAAAGCGGCGGCAAAGATGTGGGAGCTCCGACTGGGTGACCTGCTGATACCGGACGGCGCGGGGGGCCGCAAGGTTAAGGAGGTGAAAACCCTGGCACGGGAGCTAGGTGGCTCTAAGCAAGCGAAGCTGGTACTTCAGGCCTAGGAGGTTGTGGCGCAGACCTGGAAGGAATCTCTGTTGTTCGCTGAGCTTCCGCAACTGCCAACTCCGCCCGCATGCCCTCGCCTCTAGAGGTCTTCGCTTTTCAAGGAGGGGCAGATGGTGACGCTGAAGGATTTGAGGGGGTGTTGGGAGAGGAAGAAACATCAGTCCGCCAGGAGAAAGCTCTGGGCGGGCAGATGGGCAGGGGAAATTGACTGGAAAAAGGAAATAAAATCCAAGACTCTCTACTGACACCGAACAGACCGTGAGACGTGCTGCTCAGAGTTCACAGCTTTAACTTCCGCATGGGTGAAAGGATTTCCTTCCAAAGTGGCAAGCCTGTTTGTCCGCACTGCGGGGAGTTTGAAACCTTGGAGCACTGCCTTTTCAGCTGCCCGCGCATCCAGCAAATGGTGGTGGCAGTCAGGCGGGCCATGCGCATGCTGAATTCAGCAAGGCAAGTGTCGAGGCTGGGGGACCTACTGTTTGGGAAAGCAGCATCCGCCTGAGCTTTTCCCGAAGCGTCCCTCTCCGCTATCGCGATACACCAGATTTGGGCGAAGAGGTGCGAATGTGTGTTTCGGGGAAAGATATTTCGGGCTCGGCGGGTTCTCAAACGCATCGAAGCAGCTTTTCGGCTGCATGTGAAGGTGTACACGTGGACAATGGGGAAAAATCTTGGCAGAGGTGGCGTTTTGAAGGGACGTGGTACGACTCATGCGCTGGCAGAGCAGGAGGACGACTTGCTTGGACGCATCCGTTGTTTGGCGGTGAGGGGTTGGAAATGGACGCACAGTTTTGGCGCGCTTTGGAGCCTCACAAGAGTGTCAGAACATATAGCTTACTTGTTTCTGTAGGCTATAGTGGGGTATCCCATAGGGGGTACAACACAATTAGGGTTGCATATTTGTATCACTTCCATTCCTTAGTCATTCATTCTCGTTCTTTGCTTTCACATGGAATCAGAGCAGGTTCCCTCCTAGGGACTGCTTCTAGGGCCCACCGACCCGCGCCCCGAGGCGCGGTTTTTTTTTAGCGACCCGTCGTGTCGCCCCTAGCGGCCCGTTGCGCCGCCCTTCCCCTAGCGGCTCCGCCGCCCTTCCCTAGCGGCCCCGCCGCCCTTCGATCGCGGCCCCGCCGCCCTCTGCTACGCGGCCCCGCCGCCGCCCTTCGATCGCGGCCCCGCCGCCCTCTGCTACGCGGCCCCGCCGCCCTCTGCCACGCGGCCCCGCCGCCCTCTGATACGCGGCCCCGCCGCCCTTCGATTGCGGCCCCGCCGCCCTCTGCTACGCGGCCCCGCCGCCCTCTGCTACGCGGCCCCGCCGCCCTCTGCTACGCGGCCCCGCCGCCCTCTGCTACGCGGCCCCGCCGCCCTCTGCTACGCGGCCCCGCCGCCCTTCGATCGCGGCCCCGCCGCCCTCTGCTACGCGGCCCCGCCGCCCTCTGCTACGCGGCCCCGCCGCCCTCTGCTACGCGGCCCTGCCGCCCTCTTCAGTCTCCCTGAGTCCCTTCGTGTCGTTCGGGACCAGTTTCTCTCTGTCTATCCCACCACTCTCACTGTCGACCTCCTTGAGGAGTCCCTGCTAGCGGCTGAGAAGAGTATTCTCGCTGTAGGGGCCTCTCGGGGTGACCCTCGCACCCCCATCTTTGAGGGGTGTGGTCCTTCCCCCCTGCTGGCCTCTGTCGCCTCTGCCGCTGCGGCCGACCTCACTGGTTTTGAGTCGGTCGGCGCGGCGTCTGCCCCCAGCGGCAGACGCCGCTCTGGCAAGGGCAAGGGGGGCAAGGGAGCGGGTGGAGCTAGAGGGGGCGGTGGAGGAGGCGGTGGGGGTGGCGGGGGGAGTGGGGGTGGCGGTGGGGGTGGTGGCGGGAGTGGAGGTACTGGTGGCGGCGGTGGCGGCGGAGGTGGCGGCGGAGGTGGTAGCGGAGGAGGCGGTGGGAGCGGTGGGAGCGACGGTCCTGGTGGGGGAGGTGGCGGTGGAGACGGGGGTGGCGGTGGAGGCGGGGGTGGCGGTGGAGGCGGGGGTCGGAGTGGCTCGTCCCAGCGGAGCAGCTCTGGGGGTGGTCAGCGCCAGCAGCAGCAGCAGCAGCAGCCGCAGCAGCAGCCACAGCAGCAGCAGCGCTCTCGCACCGTCCCCGCCCCTCAGCAGCTCCGTGAGTGGTACTCGCAGCGTCAGCGTGGTGGTGCGCTTGGTCCTTGCCCCTACGTTCTTCGCACCGGTGACCGTGCAGGGGAGAGGTGTGGAGGCGCCCACACAGCCCGCCGCTGCTTTGGCCGCCTGACTGACGCCTGGCGTCAGCAGTTTCCGGAGGCAGCTGAGATCCCCCGCTGGGGAGAGCTGTCTCGGGCTGGTGTAGCTATTTATGATCTTGATTTTGATGCTATTCTCTCTGCTATGTATGCTGCGATTGGTAGTGATGAGGATGACTGTTACCGGTGTTTCCCGCCCGACCCGGGCATTGGTACTGCCACGTCAGGTACTAGTGAGGCTGCTGCTCTAGGTGCCAGTGCGTCTGTGCTCTCAGGTGCTGGTGAGTCTGCCCTCTCAGGTACTGTGTCGGCTTCGGCCTCTCACACCTTCACCCTTGACTCTGGAGCGTCTCGCTCCTTCTTTAGGGACCGCACCACTCTCACGCCGCTGAGTCGGCCGGTTGCGGTGTCCCTGGCTGACCCCTCTGGGGGGCCTGTCCTGTCTCGCTTCTCCACTGTCCTCCCGTGTCCGGCGGCCCCCTCTGGCACCCTGACTGGTCTCTACCTCCCCTCGTTCTCGACGAACTTGGTGAGTGGTGCTGACCTCCAGGATGCGGGTGTCCACCAGTTCACCCCTGCTTGTCAGCGGGTGACCCACTGCACGGAGGCGGATACAGGTCGCCACCTGGCTACGTTTACACGTCGGCCAGGGTCGAGCCTGTACACACTGACCACTGCTTCTCCTCCAGGTGCTGAGTCTGGTAGGGTCCCTTCGTCTGGTCAGGTGTTTGCTGCAGCGTCCAGGTCTGGTCCTGAGTCTGCCCCCTGCTCGTGTCGTCGTCTGTCTCACGAGACCCTCCTCTGGCACTACCGCCTTGGCCACCCCTCTCTGCTTCGGCTCAGAGGCATGGCCTCGCGAGTCCTTGTGTCTGGTCTTCCCCGGTCTCTCCCTCCCCTTCCTCCGGGCCCTGGCCCTACCTGTGTCCCCTGTGTCGAGGGGCGCCAGCGTGCTGCCCCTCACTCCTCCCAGTTTCCTCCGACAGAGGCCCCGTTGCAGACCCTTCACATGGACGTGTGGGGCCCAGCCCGCGTCTGTGGACAGGGTCAGGAGCGCTACTTCCTGCTGGTGGTTGACGACTACTCGCGTTACACCACGGTCTTCCCCTTGCGCAGCAAGGGTGAGGTCACTGAGGTGTTGATCGACTGGATCCGCGCAGCTCGTCTCCAGCTTCGGAGGAGCTTTGGCTCTGACTTCCCTGTTTTGCGTCTGCACTCGGACAGAGGCGGAGAGTTCTCCTCTGGCCTCCTGAGTGCCTACTGTCGTGCACGAGGCATCCGTCAGACCTTCACGCTTCCGGACTCACCACAGCAGAATGGGATTGCTGAGCGCCGCATTGGCATGGTCATGGACGTCGCTCGTACGTCCATGATGCATGCGGCTGCTCCCCATTTTCTGTGGCCGTTTGCGGTCAGGTACGCTGCGCACCAGATCAACCTCCACCCCAGGGTCTCTCGACCGGAGACCTCCCCAGCCCTACTGTGGACGGGGAAGGTTGGCGATGCGTCGGCGTTCCGGGTCTGGGGATCTCGGGCGTTTGTTCGCGACCTGTCTGCGGACAAGCTGTCCCCTCGTGCTTCTCCCTGCGTCTTCCTGGGGTTCCCCCCCGACGCCCCTGGGTGGCAGTTTTACCACCCCACCTCTCGACGTGTTCTGTCCTCCCAGGACGTCACGTTCGACGAGTCGGTACCCTACTACCGCCTCTTCCCCTACCGCACTCCGTCCCTCCCCCCACCCCCGCTCTTCTTGGTACCAGGTCCCCCCCCGGTAGTCCCCCTCCCCCCTCAGGGTCCTGCCCCTTCAGGTGTGTCCCAGGTAGACGCGGTCGAGCCTGTCGAGGTCACTGGTGACTCTGGTGCTGCTGCGGGAGCTGAGCCTGGGGGTGCGGAGTCTGGGGGTGCTGAGCCTGGGGGTGCTGAGCCTGGGGGTGCTGAGCCTGGAGGTGCCGAGCCTGGGGGTGCTGTGCCTGGGGGTGCTGTGCCTAGGGGTGCTGAGCCTGGGGGTGCTGCGCCTGGGGGTGCTGTACCTGGGGGTGCTGAGCCTGGAGGTGCCGAGCCTGGGGGTGCTGTGCCTGGGGGTGCTGAGCCTGGGGGTGCTGAGCCTGGGGGTGCTGTGCCTGGGGGTGCTTCGTCTCGCCGGGAGCCACTCTCCCCACAGGAGCTGCGTGAGTGGTTTGCCAGGCGCTGGAGGCGTGATGCTGGTGCTGGTGGTTCTTCGGCTGCAGAGGGTACTGCTGCCGCGCGTCCCGCCGGTGCTCGTGCTGTGGGTGCTGGAGCTGCTGGGTCTGAGAGTTCTCCTGGAGCTGGTACTGCTGAGGGTGTTGGCGCTGAGCCTGCCGTTGGCGGTCCGACTGACAGTGCTCCTGGTGCTGCTGCTGGAGATTCTGGAGCTTCTTGTGGTGCTGCTGGAGGTGCTGCTGGAGTGGGTGCTCCTGCCGGGGCTGCTGGTGCTCTTCCTGCTGTTTCTAGTGTCGCCGCGCGGCCCCGACCGTACTTCGTTCCGCTCCTGCAGCAGGTTCTTGGTCTTCCACCTCCTCCTCCTCCTCCCTTAGAGGGTCCGCAGCCTGTCCGGTCACAGCCACAGCTACAGCCTGCCTCCCCTTTGCCTGCTCCTTCTCCCTACACTGGTCCGACTGGAGGTCTTACTGAGCGTCGTGAGCCTGCGTCTCGTCCTGTGTCGCCTGTTCGTACTGAGCGCGCTAGTGGTCGCGGGTCGCGTCAGCGTCCTCCTCCTGTCCCTGGCACGCACCGGATGTCACTGCGTCCGTCCACTGCTCCTCTGCGTGCCCCTTTGCCTTCTCCTCCTGCTTCCTCTCTTCCTGCTCTTGCCGACCCGGAGTCGGACTCTCTTCGTGCTGCCAGTCCTACTGTCACGCGTCTCCTTGCTACTGCTGTCACTGACCCTTCCTTCGAGTCGTCTGCTGCGTCTGCCCTTGTCACTGAGCTTGTCGACTTTGCTGCGCGCTGTCGTCTAGACTACGCTGCTCGTCTTGTCACTGAGTCTGCGTCCGCCTGTCCTCCGTCCGTCGGGGGTGAGTGTGCCCTTGGCACGGACGTCCTTGAGGACAGGCAGGAGGAGTTCCAGTGTCTGGCCGCCGCTTCACCTCGTCTCGCGTCTGTACTGCTAGCCCCTGAGGGAGACCCGGATGCACCAGACATCCCGACTCCGCGCTCTTACGCGGAGGCGATAGAGGGTCCCTACTCCTCTCAGTGGCAGGCAGCTATGGATGCAGAGATGGCTTCCTGGAAGTCCACAGGCACCTACGTTGACGCTGTTCCCCCTCCTGGGGCGAACATCGTCAGTGGCATGTGGATTTTCAGGGTGAAGCGGCCGCCGGGTTCTCCGCCTGTCTTCAAGGCGCGTTACGTGGCTCGTGGCTTCAGTCAGCGGCAGGGGGTTGACTACTTTCAGACCTTCTCCCCCACCCCGAAGATGACCACTCTTCGGGTTCTGCTGCACGTTGCTGCTCACCGTGACTACGAGCTGCACTCTCTCGACTTCAGCACAGCTTTCTTGCAGGGCAGTCTGCACGAGGAGATCTGGCTGCGTCGCCCACCTGGCTTCACTGGGTCTTTCCCTCCTGGTACCCAGTGGAGTCTCCGGCGTCCAGTCTACGGTCTCCGCCAGGCGCCACGTGAGTGGCACGACACACTGAGGACTACGCTCGCGGCACTTGGGTTTGCTCCTTCTACTGCCGACCCGTCGCTGTTTCTGCGCACCGACACCTCTCTGCCGCCGTTCTACATCCTCGTGTACGTCGACGACTTGGTCTTTGCCACAGCTGACACTGCTGGACTCGCCTACGTGAAGTCCGAGCTGCAGAAGAGACACACGTGCACTGACCTGGGTGAACTGCGCAGCTACCTTGGCTTGCAGATCACCCGGGACAGAGCACGCCGCACCATTACCCTGACTCAGTCACACATGGTGCAGCAGGTCCTTCAGCGCTTCGGCTTCACGTACTCCTCGCCTCAGGCCACTCCTCTGCCTACTCGCCACTCGCTCTCAGCTCTGCCTTCGGATGAGTCCGTAGAGTCGAGTGGCCCGTTTGCAGAGCTTGTTGGCTGCCTCATGTACCTGATGACCTGCACACGACTTGACCTCGCATACCCTCTTAGCATTCTCGCACGCTTTGTTGCTCCTGGGAGACACCGACCAGAGCACATGGCTGCAGCGAAGAGGGTGTTGCGCTACTTGTGCAGTACGTCGGGCATGGGGCTAGTGCTTGGAGGGCGCAGTCCAGTAGTCCTCACTGGGCACGCAGACGCTTCTTGGGCTGACGACCAGGCTACGCAGCGGTCGTCACAGGGTTACACCTTCAGCCTTGGTTCCGGCTCTGTCTCGTGGCGGGCTACCCGCTCGTCTTCTGTTCTCGGCTCCAGTTGTGAGGCTGAGATCTACGCTGGGGCTATGGCTGCACAGGAGTTACGCTGGCTCACCTACCTGCTGACCGACCTTGGAGAGCAGCCTCGTTCTCCTCCAGTCCTGTACGTAGACAACAAGGCCATGCTGGCCTTGTGTCGAGAGCAGCGACTGGAGCACAGAACGAAGCACATTGCTCTCCGCTACTTTCTTGCTCGTGAGCTACAGCAGCGTGGACAGTTGCGACTTGCGTACGTGGCCTCTGAGGCCAACACTGCTGATGTCTTCACCAAGGCACTTGCGCCTTGTGATCATCAGCGTTGTTGCACGCAGTTGGGTCTTGTGCCTGTCTTGCCTCACTTGCTCTCCTCTTGACCTTGCTTGTACCTTCGCCTATATATACTCTTGCTCTTGCATGCTTGACTCTTGTATATCTCTATATATGATCTTGCATGTGAACTGGCCTTCTGGCCTTTGAACTTGTGCTCGGAATGCGTGGTGACTTTGTGATCCACCCTGAGCTTTGCTTTGGTTTGCTTGACTGGTCTTGTGACCCCTTGTTCTCCCCCACTTCGCCTATGGGGGTGTGTCAGAACATATAGCTTACTTGTTTCTGTAGGCTATAGTGGGGTATCCCATAAGGGGTTCAACACAATTAGGGTTGCATATTTGTATCACTTCCATTCCTTAGTCATTCATTCTCGTTCTTTGCTTTCACAAAGAGGGGCCTTGCATCCGCCTTAGAAGCTTCACATGGGTTCACCACTGGGGTTTGGCCTCTCACGACCAGTTACGTCTGACATATATCTCTTATACGCTTGCTTCTTGGTGAATTCAGATATATTCATGATGAAAAAAAAAAAAAAAAAAACGGAGGCGTGGCAGGGAGGGGTGACCAAGGGAGTGGTGCCAAAGGAGAGTCCGGTGTGACATGAGGTGACACAAACAGGGGGCTGCTAGCTGACCTGACGCGGACGCAGACGCAGCTACCTGAGGAGGCTCAGTAGTCAGTGTGTACAGACTCGACCCAGGCCGACGGGTGAATGTGGCCAGGTGACGGCCCGTCCGTATATACATGCGGATCGACACACGCTGACCCCCAAGAGTGGTGGTAGTGACCATCGCATCTTGGAGGGCAGCGGTACTCACCAAGTTCGTAGAAAACGAGGGGAGGTGAAGACCTGACAGTAAGCCAGACGGGACCGCTGGACACGGGAGAACAGTGGTGAAATGTGCAAGAACTGGGCCCCCGGAGGGGTGAGCCAGTCTGACTGCAACCGGTGCAGGGAGTGGTGTGAGTGTGGTACTGTCGAGAAAGAAACAGCGGGAAGCATTTGAGTCAAGCGTGAAGGTGTGCAAGGCCTCAGCAGGCGCAGTACCATGGAGAGCAGACTTACTAGCACCTACAGCAGCAGCCTCTATACATGGGTCGGACGGCACACACAGGTAACAGTCACCCTCAGCACTAACAGTCAAAACATACATGGCAGCAAGGATAGCATCATAGTCAAGAGCAAAGTTATCCACACCTTGCCTAAGAAGTTGCAGCCAGCGGAGGAGCTTAGTCGCGTTGGGAAACTCTGCGCGTCAGGAGTCGTCAAGACGGGAGAAGCAGCGGGACTATGTGTGACCAACCTTCCCGCATGTCTGACCAGCTCGGTCACCTGTGCGAATGACGTACTTGCAGCGAACACTACCCCTATACGCCCACGCTGAGCAAACCACTCACAAAGCTCCTGAGGCATAGGGGTCTCACGCGTACGCTGTTGCTGCTGCTGCCTCTGACCACCGCCAAAACCTCCCCTTTGACTGGTTCCACCCCGGCCGCCACCACCGCCGCCGCCACCACTCCCACTACCGCCACCAGTGCCGCCGCTACCACTCCCACTGCCGCCACCACCGCCGCCACCAACGCCTCCACTCCCACCACCACCCCCCTCCGCCACCACCGCCACCTCGACCGCCTCCACCGCCTCCACCACCACCTCCACCGCCTCCACCGCCTCCACCATCACCTCCACCGCTGCCACCCCCACCACCCTTGCCTCCCTTGCCCCTGCCGCTACGGTGCCTCCCACTAGGAGCAAACGCAGCCCCGACCTCCTCAGCACGAAGGAAGTCAACAGCAGCAACAGAAGCGTAGGAGGGGGCAAGGGGGGAGGGGGAACACCCCTCAAAGAAGGGAGTGTGAGCAGCACCTACAGCGACTATGCTAGTCTCAGCTGCAAGGAGGTGCTTCTCGAGCAGGTCGACGGTGAGGTATGTGGGGTCCATGGCAAGAAAGAGGTCCTTGACTGCGCTAAGAGAGTGAGGGAGGTGAGTGACTATGAAGTAGGGAGCGATGTACATAAGGGGGGGGTTCTTTTCTAGAAACTTGGTGGTAAGCGCGACGCGGTAGCGAGTGTCACTGGTGCGAAGGTGGGTGACTAGGTCGTCGACTGTGGCAAAGGCGGACAGCTCGGGAAAAAGGTAGGGCAGTATAAGGCGGCCGAGAGCAGCAGTGGCAGGGGAAGAGTAACGAGCGACTACAGCGTCGGACAGGGCTTTATAAGTCTTATGCTGACCAAAGTGAGCACGTTCGGCTAACGGTAAGTGGTTGCGAACGGCTAAGCGAGCAGCAGCGACACGGGTAAGCCACTGTGAGCGAGTCGCACTGTCAGCTGTGTCGGGAGGGGCGAGAGAGGCTCCAAACGTGTGGTCAAACAACGAAATGCTGTCTCTAGAATCGCTTAGTAGGTACAGCTGTAAGTCATCAAGCCACGTATCGAACTGGATCGGATGGCCCTCATGATTTAAAGTGAGATCTCCGAGAGTAGCCATAGCAGGCAGAGCAGGTTAGCACGCGAGCAGCAGGGCAGCGCGCAAGCAAGGACGGCGCGACGGGCAAGGCAGTGCATAAGCGCTAGGGAAGCGTGCAGGGCAGGGCGGTGCGGCGCACGGCTAGGGCAGGGCGGCGCAACTGACAGGGCAGGGCGGCGGCCAGCAGGGCGGCGCGCGGGCAGGGTAGGGCAGAGCGGCGCGCGGGCAGGGTAGGGCGGTGCGGCGGCCAGCCGGGCAGCGTGCAGGCAGGGCAGGGCGGCGCGCGGCCAGCATGGCAGCGCGGCGGCTTGCAGGGCAGCGCGACAGGCAAGTCAGAGCGGCGCAGCGACCTGCAGGGTGGCGTGCGGGCAAGGTAGGGCGGCGCGGCGCTAGTAGGGCAGCGCGACGGGCAGGCAGGGCGGCGCGCGATCAACAAGGCGGCGCGATGGGCAGGCAGGGCAGTGTGCGGCCAGCAGGGTGGCGCGACGGGCAGGGCAGGGCAGCGCGGCGGCCTGCAGGGCGGCGCGCGGGCAAGGCAGGGCGGTGCAGCGCTAGCAAGGCAACGCGACGGGCAAGGGAGGGCGGCGCGCGACCAACAGGGCGGCGTGACGGGCAGGCAGGGCAGCGCGCGATTAGCAGGGCGGCGCGCTGGGCAAGGCAGGGCGGCGCGCGACGGGCAGGGCAAGGCAGCGCGACTGGTGGGTAGCGCGACAGGCAGGTAGGGCGCTACGGGTAGGGTAACGCGCTACGGGCAGCGAACTATACAGTGGGCCCTAAAAAAAAAACGGTCCTGGGACAGGACCTCCTCTGAAACCATGTCACTGAACGGGAATGAGTGCATTGAGTACGAAGTTGGTACAAGTACTAACCCGAATTGGGTTGTACCCCTTATGGGCTACCCCACTACAGCCTACACATTATGATAGTTTGACAACATCCGCAACTCCTATTGGTCGAGACTTTGTTGACTTCGTCTCGACAGCTGGAAGCCGAGTTCCGCTTCAACTCCAAGAATTATCTAATCTTGAGAATCGTGTATAAAGTGAAATCGACTAATTGAAATACAGAAAATATTTTTGTTATCAACAAAAGTAATTTTTGATGCCTCCCACATTTCGTCATCTATGTCATGTTGCTGCAGGATTTTGACAACAACCTTCAACCAGTCGCCTTCGAGTGCCGCAAGCTGCCGATAGCCAAACGCAACTACCCTATCCATAACAAAGAAATGCTAGTCATTATCCACGCATTCAAAATATGGTGCTGCTACCTGATTGGCACCGACTGTCAGAACATTATAGCTGATACATGTTTGTAGGCTGTAATGGGGTAGCACATATGGGGTACAGATTCCTAGGGTTTGTTATTTGTACCAATTTCTGACTTAGTCATTTTCATTCCTCTTCTCATTGTTTCACATGGTATAGAGCTAGGTCCCTCCAGGACCGATTTTTTTTGGGCCCACCGAAGCGCGCCCCGAGGCGCGGTTTTTTTTTTTAGCGACCCCTCGAGTCGCCCTCTCCCCTGCGGCCTCGCCGCCCACTCTGTCGCGGCCCCGCCCTGACCCTTACGCGGCCCCGCCGCCTGCTCCTTACGCGGCCCCGCGCCGGCCCCTTACGCGGCCCTTACGCGGCCCCGCGCCGGCTCCTAAGCGGCCCCGCGCCGGCTCCTACGCGGCCCCGTCCCCGGCTCCTACTCGGCCCCGCCACCGGCTCCATTGCGGCCCCGCCCCGGCTCCTACGCGGCCCTGTCCGCCGGCCCCTTACGCGGCCCCGCCGCCGGCCCCTTACGCGGCCCCGCGCCGGCCCCTTACGCGGCCCCGCGCCGGCCTCCTACGCGGCCCTGCCCCGGCTCCTACGCGGCCCCGCCGCCGGCTCCTACTCGGCCCCGCGCCGGCTCTCACGCGGCCCCGTCCCGGCTCCTTCACGGCCCTGTCCGCCGGCTCCTTACGCGGCCCTGCCGCCGGCCTCTGCTCGGCCCTGCGCCGACCCCTGCGCGGCCCTGCCACCGGCTCCAACGCGGCCCTACCCCGGCTCCTAAGCCGGCCCTACCGCCGGCCCTGCCGCCGGCTCCAACGCGGCCCTGCCCCGGCTCCTACGCGGCCCTACCGCCGGCCCCTTCGCGGCCCCGCCCCGGTTCTCTTACGCGACCCCGCCGCCTCACCTGCAGCAGTCGGGCGGCCGGGCAGCCGAGCCGCCCAGTCGCCGAGCCGCCCGGGAGCCGAGTCGCCCTGCACCCGAGCCGTCAGTCGCCGAGCCGCCCGGGAGCCGAGCCGCCCTGCACCCGAGCCGCCCTGCCGCCGAGCCGCCCGGGAGCTGAGCAGCTGTACACCCGAGCCGCCCGGTCGCCGCTCTGCTTTTCTGTCGGGCTGCACGGCCTGCCCTGCCTGGTGAGCACAGTCCCTCTGTCACTGCGCCCTCTTTCCCTACTGCTTGCACTGCTTCGCTGTCGTCATCATGGCCACCCCTAGTGTCCTAGCCTTTGACGCCGAGGGTCGCGCCATTGATTTTGAGGTCTGGCTAGATGACCTGCAGCTTTTCTTACAGTGCGACAGAGCTGACAGCCTTTCTCTCTTTGACCTCACCTCTGGCGCCTCTCCTGCTCCTGCTGCCGATGCTGATCCCACTGTCCGCTCTCAGTGGGCCACCCGCGATGCTGCTGCACGTCTTGCTGTGCGTCGCCACCTCCCTACCTCTGAGCGTGCGCATTTTAGTCAGTACAAGAGTGCTCAGACCTTGTACGATGCTGTAGTTGCACGCTACTCCTCTCCTGCCACTGCTGCACTGAGCCGTCTCATGCTTCCCTACCTCTTTCCTGACCTCTCTGCCTTTCCCACTGTCGCTGACCTCATTACGCACCTCCGCACTAGTGACACTCGCTACCGCGCCGCCCTTCCTGCTGAGTTCTGCGCTAAGAACCCCCCCCCCCCATGTACATCACTCTCTACTACGTAGTCGCACGCCTCCCTGACTCCCTCCGCGTAGTCAGGGACCACTTTCTCGCAGTCTGTCCCACCACTCTCACCGTCGACCTCCTCGAGAAGGCCCTCCTCGCAGCGGAGAAGAGCATAGTCGCTGTCGGTGCCTCTCGTGGTGACCCTCGCACCCCCATCTTTGAGGGGTGCTCTCCTTCCCCCTTGCTGCCCTCTGTTGCCTCTGCTGCTGCGGCCGACCTGCTTGGTCTTGAGTCGGTCGGCGCGGCGTCTGCCCCTAGTGGGAGACGTCGCTCTGGCAAGGGCAAGGGGGGCAAGGGCGCGGGCGGAGCTGGAGGGGGCGGTGGTGGTGGCGGCGGAGGCGGCGGAGGGAGTGGGGGTGGCAGCGGGAGTAGTGGTAGTGGTGGTGGTGGTGGTGGCAGCAGCGGCGGAGACGGTGGTGGTGGTGGCACCGGTGGTGGTGGAGGCAGCAGCGGGAGTGGAGGCGGTGGAGGTGGAGGCGGTGGAGGTGGAGGCGGTGGAGGCGGCGGCGGAGGAGGCGGTGGTGGTGGAGGAGGTGGAGCTGGTCGTGGTGGTACCCAGCAGCGGAGCGGCGGTGGTGGTGGCCAGCGCTCGCAGCGGCAGCAGCAGCAGCGTTCGCGGGACATCCCTCCGCCTCAGCAGCTTCGTGAGTGGTACACTGCGCGTCAGAGGGGTGGGGGTACTGGTCCCTGCGCCTACGTTCTTCGTTCCGGCGACCGCGCGGGTGAGCAGTGTGGGGGTGCCCACTCCACCCAGCGCTGCTTTGGCCGCCTGACGGACGCTTGGCGTCAGCAGTTCCCCGGGGCTAGTGAGATCCCTCGCTGGGATGAGCTCCTTAGGGCTGGTGTAGCGATCTTTGATCTTGATTTTGATGCTATCCTTTCTGCTATGTATGCTGTGACTTGTAGTGAGGAGAATGAGGGTTACCGGTGTTTCCAGCCCGACCCGGGCATTGGTACTGCTGCCCTAGGTACTTGTGAGGCTGCTGCTCTAGGTGCCAGTGCGTCTGCGCTCTCAGGTACTAGTGAGACTGCGCTCTCAGGTGCTGGTGAGACTGCGCTCTCAGGTACTGCGTCGCCCTCGTCCTCCCTCACTTTCACACTTGACTCTGGGGCTTCTCGCTCCTTCTTTCGAGACCGCACTACCCTCACGCCACTTGGCCGACCGGTTGCGGTCTCCCTTGCTGACCCCTCTGGGGGTCCTGTCCTGTCTCACTTCTCCACTGTCCTCCCGTGTCCGGCTGCCCCTTCGGGCACCCTGTCTGGTCTGTACCTTCCCTCGTTCTCTACGAACTTGGTGAGTGGTGCGGACCTACAGGATGCGGGGGTTCACCAGTTCACTCCTGCGAGGCGGCGGGTGACCCACTGCACGGACGCAGACACAGGCCGACACCTGGCCACCTTTTCGCGTCGGCCGGGGTCGAGTCTCTACACCCTGACCACTTCGTCTCCTCCTGTCCCTGTGTCTGGTCAGGTAGCTGCGTCAGGTCAGGTGTTTGCTGCTGCGTCCCGGTCAGGTCCTGAGTCTGCCCCCTGTTCCTGTCGCCTCCTGTCTCACGAGACTCTCCTGTGGCACCACCGTCTAGGCCACCCCTCCTTGGCTCGTCTTCGGAGCATGGCCTCTCGTGTCCTTGTCTCTGGTCTTCCCCAGTCTCTCCCTCCTCCCCCCCCCGGGCCAGGGCCTTCCTGTGTCCCCTGTGTCGAGGGTCGCCTCCGGGCTACTCCTCACTCCTCCCACTTCCCCCCGACAGAGGCTCCGCTGCAGACGCTTCACATGGATGTGTGGGGCCCGGCCCCCGTCCGTGGGCAGGGTTACGAGCGCTACTTCCTGTTGGTGGTTGACGACTACTCGCGTTACACCACAGTCCTCCCCTTGCGCAGCAAGGGTGCTGTCACTGAGGTGCTGATCGACTGGATCCGCGAGGCTCGTCTCCAGCTCAGGAAGAGCTTCGGCTCTGACTTTCCTGTTCTGCGTCTGCACTCGGACAGAGGCGGAGAGTTCTCCTCTCGCCTTCTGCGAGACTACTGTCGTGCACGGGGGATCCGCCAGACCTTCACGCTTCCGGACTCACCACAGCAAAATGGGATTGCTGAGCGCTGCATTGGCATGGTCATGGATGTCGCTCGTACGTCCATGATGCATGCGGCTGCCCCCCATTTTCTGTGGCCGTTTGCGGTGAGGTACGCGGCGCATCAGCTCAACCTTCACCCGCGGGTCTCTAGGCCTGCGATGTCCCCAGCCTTGCTGTGGACGGGGAAGGTTGGCGATGCGTCTGTGTTTCGTGTCTGGGGATCTCGGGCGTTTGTCCGCGACTTGTCTGCGGACAAGCTGTCCCCTCGTGCTGCTCCCTGTGTCTTCCTTGGCTTCCCCACTGACGCCCCAGGGTGGCAGTTCTACCACCCCTCCTCTCGTCGTGTTCTGTCCTCCCAGGACGTCACGTTCGACGAGTCGGTCCCCTTCTACCGTCTCTTCCCCTACCGCACTCCTTCCCTCCCCCCTCCCCCGGACTTCCTTGTGCCGGTTCCCCCCCCGGTAGACCCCCTTCCCCCTCAGGTTCCTGCTCCCTCAGGTGTGTCCCAGGTAGACGCCGTTTACCCGGTCGAGGTTACTGGTGACTCTGGTGCTGCTGCGGGTGCTGAGCCTGGGGGTGCTGACTCTGGGGGTGCTGTCCGCGGGGGTGCTGAGCCTGGAGGAGCTGCTGCTGGGGGTCCTGAGCCTGGGGGTGCTAGTGCGGAGGGTGCGGAGCCTAGGAGTGCTGCGCCGGGGGGTGCTGTCACTGGAGGTGCTGGGTCTGGGGGTGCTGAGTTGGGAGCTGCTGCGCCTGGGGGTGCTGTGTCTGGAGCTGCTGAGCCTGGGGGTGCTGCGTCTGGAGCTACTACGCCTGGGGTTTCTCCTGCTGCTCAGCCTCCCCGGGAGCCTCTCTCTCCACAGGAGCTGCGCGAGTGGTTCGCTCGTCGTTGGAGGCGTGCTGCTGAGTCTGGGGGTGCTGCTGGAGCTGGAGCTGGACCTTCTTCGACTGACGAGGGTGCTGGTGCTGCCGGTCCCGGAGCTGCTGGGCCTGCGGGTCCTCTTGGAGCTGGCGCTGCTGAGGGTGTTGGTGCTGAGACTGCTGCTGTTGGTCCTGCTGCTGGAGGAGTTGGTGGCCCTGGTGCTGTCGCTGAGGGTGCTGGAGCTGTCCCTGCTGCGCCTGGAGCTGCTGAGCGGCCTCGACCGTACTTCGTTCCGCTACTGCAGCAGGTTCTTGGTCTTTCTCCTCCGGTAGAGAGTCCACCGCCTGTCCAGTCGCAGTCCCTGCTGGAGCCTTCCTCTCCGCTACCTGCTCCCTCTCCTTACACTGGTCCTACTGGAGGTCTTGCTGAGCGTCGTGAGCCTGCGTCTCGTCCTGCGTCGCCTGTTCGTCCTGCTCGCGCTACTGGTCGCGGCTCGCGTCAGCGTCCTCCTCCTGTTCCTGGCACGCACCAGATGTCTTTGCGTCCGTCCTTTGCTCCTCTGCGTGCCCCTTTGCCTTCTCCTCCTGCGTCCTCTCTTCCTGCGCTTGCCGACCCTGCGTCGGACTCTCTGCGTGCTGCCAGTCCTACTGTCACGCGTTTCCTTGCTACTGTGGTCACTGACCCTTCTTTCGAGTCTTCTGCTGCGTCTGCCCTACTCACTGAGCTTGTCGACTTTGCTGCTCGCTGTCGCTTAGACTACGCTGCTAGTCTTGTTGCTGAGTCTGCGTCTGTCTGTCCTCCGTCCGTCGGGGGTGAGTGTGCTCTTGGCACGGACGTCCTAGAGGACAGGCAGGAGGAGTTACAGTGTCTAGCGGCTGCTTCACCTCATCTCGCGTCTGTACTGCTTGCCCCTGAGGGAGACCCGGATGCACTAGACATCCCGACTCCGCGTTCTTACGCGGAGGCTGTAGAGGGTCCCTACTCCTCTCAGTGGCAGGCAGCTATGGATGCAGAGATGGCTTCCTGGAAGTCCACAGGCACCTACGTTGACGCAGTTCCCCCTCCTGGGGCGAACATCGTCAGTGGCATGTGGATCTTCAGGGTGAAGCGGCCGCCGGGCTCTCCGCCTGTCTTCAAGGCGCGTTACGTCGCTCGTGGCTTCAGTCAGCGGCAGGGAGTTGACTACTTTCAGACCTTCTCTCCCACCCCGAAGATGACTACTCTTCGGGTGCTGCTGCACGTTGCCGCTCAGCGCGACTACGAGCTTCACTCTCTCGACTTCAGCACTGCGTTCCTGCAGGGTAGCCTGCACGAGGAGATCTGGCTGCGCCGTCCGCCTGGCTTCACTGGGACTTTCCCTCCTGGCACCCAGTGGAGCCTCCGACGGCCAGTCTACGGTCTCCGCCAGGCACCGCGTGAGTGGCACGACACACTGAGGACTACGCTTGCGGCTCTTGGGTTTGCTCCTTCCACTGCTGACCCGTCGCTGTTTCTTCGCACCGACACTTCCTTGCCGCCGTTCTACATCCTCGTGTACGTCGACGACTTGGTCTTTGCCACAGCGGACACTGCTGGACTCGCCTACGTGAAGTCCGAGCTGCTGAAGAGACACACGTGCACAGACCTGGGTGAACTGCGCAGCTACCTTGGCTTGCAGATCACTCGGGACAGAGCACGCCGCACCATTACCCTGACTCAGTCACACATGGTGCAGCAGGTCCTTCAGCGCTTCGGCTTCACGTACTCCTCGCCTCAGGCCACTCCTCTGCCTACTCGCCACTCGCTCTCAGCTCTGCCTTCGGATGAGTCCGTAGAGTCGAGTGGCCCGTATGCAGAGCTTGTTGGCTGCCTCATGTACCTGATGACCTGCACACGACCTGACCTTGCATACCCTCTGAGCATCCTTGCACGCTATGTTGCTCCTGGGAGACACCGACCTGAGCACATGGCTGCAGCGAAGAGGGTATTGCGCTACCTGTGCAGTACGTCGGGCATGGGGCTAGTGCTTGGAGGGCGGAGTCCAGTGGTCCTTACGGGCCACGCGGACGCTTCTTGGGCTGACGACCAGGCTACGCAGCGGTCGTCACAGGGTTACACCTTCAGCCTTGGTTCCGGCTCTGTCTCGTGGCGGTCTACTCGCTCGTCTTCGGTTCTCGGCTCCAGTTGTGAGGCTGAGATCTACGCCGGGGCCATGGCTGCGCAGGAGCTTCGCTGGCTCACCTACCTGCTGACTGACCTTGGAGAGCCGCCTCGTTCTCCTCCAGTGCTGTACGTAGACAACAAGGCCATGCTGGCCTTGTGTCGAGAGCAGCGTCTGGAGCACAGAACGAAGCACATTGCTCTCCGCTACTTCCTTGCTCGTGAGCTGCAGCAGCGTGGTCAGTTGCGACTTGCGTACGTGGCCTCTGAGGCCAACACTGCTGATGTGTTCACCAAGGCACTCGCGCCTTGTGACCATCAGCGCTTCTGTACCCAGCTGGGTCTTGTGCCTGTCTTGCCTCACTTGCTCTCTTCCTGACTTCACTTGTACTGTGATATATATATATACGTGCTCTTGCTTGTCTAGTAATATCTATATGTCTGTACTCCTGCATGTGAACTAGCCTCTGGCCCTGCTCTTGTGCTCGGACTGTGTGGTGACTTTGTGATCCACCCTGAGCTTGTTTTGCTTTGCTTGACTGGTCTTGTGACCCCTTGTTCTCCCCCACTTTGCCTATGGGGGTGTGTCAGAACATTATAGCTGATACATGTTTGTAGGCTGTAATGGGGTAGCACATATGGGGTACAGATTCCTAGGGTTTGTTATTTGTACCAATTTCTGACTTAGTCATTTTCATTCCTCTTCTCATTGTTTCACACCGACGTCACTATTAGCACAGCCCATTAAACTATACACTACCTATGCTCACAACTGAACCTCAACCACGACAAATCTAGTAGCTGGATTATATGGAGTCACATTTTCTTTTATCGCATCACCTACAAAGTAGGCGCAAACATAATCGTCAACATAGTGACTCGAC